CCAAGGTGGGATTCCTCATTCTTTACTTTGGAGGTTGGCTTCTTATTCAGTTCTACTGAAAACCTAAAATGCTCTGTGAATTTAAAGAAGGATTTCTAGATTACTACCCCCCCCACTTATTTAAAAAGATAAAAGTAACAGCAATGTATTTTAAAAAGAAAACATCACCTACAAAGACTTACAGTAACTCTTTCCATTGCTTTTTTGTACAAGTGGGATGCCCCTTTATCATTTTCTAGAATCTTCTTCCAAGTAGTGCTCACTTTAGACACACTGGAAAATAAGTGATAAAAGAAAAAGCATGACAAAGATGCTGAGATGAAAACAGTAGAGAAACATTAATAGCACAGAAGTCAAATATATATTAGTGCTTCTCAAGTTTGACTATGTATTAGAATTGCTTGGGGCACTAAAGATTCAAGGATACCCATGCCTAATCATTTGGATTTAACCAGCCTAAAATGGGGCAAAGGGCTTTTAAAAGATAAAAGTAACAGCCACATATTTGAAAAAGAAAACATCACCTACAAAGACTTATAGTAACTCTTTGCATTGCTTTTTTGTACAGGTGGGATGCCCCTTTATCACTTAACTGTAGGTTAGGAACCAAGTAACTGTAGGTTAGGAACTTCCATTTTGTGTTTTACTTTTTTTCTACAATATTTGTGAAAATCAAATAGCCAGCATTCTGTATACGACAGTAGGGTAAATATCTGCTAAAAGGCCATACATATATCAAAGTACTCTGGGATACATTGCTACTAGAAGTCAGTTTTTAAAAGCTATTAACATGGGGCTGGGAAGATGGCTCAGGAGAATAAGCACTTGCCTGGCAAGTGCAAGGGCCTGAGTTCAGTCCCTGGTTCTGCAAACTATTAACATGAAAAAGGTACAATCTGCGGTAGTTACTACCCTTTAAGGGCTATCAACAAGTAACACTGACATGTTTCACGTTACCTCTATTGCGTGAAGACTACAGTAAAACCACACTTGCCAGGTATTTCTAATTTCTCAAGAAGCCCAAACTGAACAGAGAACTGAATCTAACCAACCTAACCCAACAGTCTATATAATCATCTTATTTCTCAAAGCTACACCATCCAAATGGATTTCCCTTGGTGTGAAGAGGAATAGGTAATTAAGATTTCCTTGCTTGCTATATGTCCCAGGCTGGCCTCAAACTCAAACTCGTAGTGATATTCCTGCCCCAGCCTCCCAAGTGCTGGGATTATAGGTGTGTGCTGTCCATCCTGGCCCAAGATTTTTGAATAAGTGGTCACAACTAGATCCCTATTTATGAGTCACCACATTTTTATCACCGTCAATCTTACATCAGTAATTGTCTAAAAACAACAAAAACTATCTTGTACTTCAAGAGTAACAAAGTCCTAACTACATTAAACTTGTAGAATGGAACTAAGCCTCTGTGTGTGTGTGTGTGTGTGTGTGTGAGAATCTAGGGTCTTGGCATTGAGCTGTATTTCCCCCACCCCTTAGTTTTTATTTTGATACAAGGTCTCACTAAGTTGCCTGAGGTGGGTTCAAACTTGTGATCCCTCTGCCTCAACTTGCCAGAATGTTGGGATTACAGGTATCTGGCCCCATGCCTGTCTAGACTGCCTTAATTAATCCTCAGATACACAATTTAGAAATTTCAGAATTAAAATAAACAAAAGCAACCAAACAAAGATTTTTAAATGACAATTCAAAATGACATTAAACACATACTTCCATAAAATTTTCTTTCATTTTAGTGATACACAGGTGGTGAAATGCCAGCTCTGAAGCAAAAGCCAATTACATCAATTAACAAATGCTATAGAACCACTCTATTGTCTGATAGTAGAGAGCCATCAAAAACACATAGTAGGGACTGGGGAGATAGCTCAGTAGAATAAGCGCTTGCTTGGCAAGTGCAGGGTCCTGAGTTCAATCCCTGGTACTGCAAAAACGCACAGTAGATTATACTTGTAGATTATACTTACTTGATTAAGTCCATGTCACTAAGCTGTGCCAAAATATTTGCTAAGAGATGTTTGAGTTCCCTTCGAAAGAGTTCACTGAGAATATCTACAAATTCCAGGCCCATTTTCCTGCCAATTATATTCTGTAGTCTAAAATTTCCACTGGATATAATTTCCTTCAGTATCTCTCGATCTAGTTTAGGATTTCGCTTAGCATTCTTTTTTAATGTTGAGCAAACCACTTTTTCAAAATGAAGAACTGG